TCGAAAAAAAGGGAAGGGGGGGTGCCAGAGATTTTCGACGAAAAAAAAAAAATTTCAATTTCTTCTGAAACAAGTATATTTGCTTGCGGTGGTCAATTACAATCATATTAGGAGCAAAAATACCCCCAAAATCCTTCCCACTGTCGAGAAAAAAATTCCTAAAGGAATTGAAATTTTTGATGAAATTAAATGTTATTTTATTCCAATTATTTTTTGAAACAGAGCTTGAAATACGTCCCATGGGTACCTACAGACACGTATTAGACTATTTATCTGTAAATCGTCGAGTAAATTTGTCAAAAGTGAAAATCGAATTTTTCGAAAAAAAGGGAAGGGGGGGTGCCAGAGATTTTCGACGAAAAAAAAAAAATTTCAATTTCTTCTGAAACAAGTATATTTGCTTGCGGTGGTCAATTACAATCATATTAGGAGCAAAAATACCCCCAAAATCCTTCCCACTGTCGAGAAAAAAATTCCTAAAGGAATTGAAATTTTTGATGAAATTAAATGTTATTTTATTCCAATTATTTTTTGAAACAGAGCTTGAAATACGTCCCATGGGTACCTACAGACACGTATTAGACTATTTATCTGTAAATCGTCGAGTAAATTTGTCAAAAGTGAAAATCGAATTTTTCGAAAAAAAGGGAAGGGGGGGTGCCAGAGATTTTCGACGAAAAAAAAAAAATTTCAATTTCTTCTGAAACAAGTATATTTGCTTGCGGTGGTCAATTACAATCATATTAGGAGCAAAAATACCCCCCAAAATCCTTCCCACTGTCGAGAAAAAAATTCCTAAAGGAATTGAAATTTTTGATGAAATTAAATGTTATTTTATTCCAATTATTTTTTGAAACAGAGCTTGAAATACGTCCCATGGGTACCTACAGACACGTATTAGACTATTTATCTGTAAATCGTCGAGTAAATTTGTCAAAAGTGAAAATCGAATTTTTCGAAAAAAAGGGAAGGGGGGGTGCCAGAGATTTTCGACGAAAAAAAAAAAATTTCAATTTCTTCTGAAACAAGTATATTTGCTTGCGGTGGTCAATTACAATCATATTAGGAGCAAAAATACCCCCAAAATCCTTCCCACTGTCGAGAAAAAAATTCCTAAAGGAATTGAAATTTTTGATGAAATTAAATGTTATTTTATTCCAATTATTTTTTGAAACAGAGCTTGAAATACGTCCCATGGGTACCTACAGACACGTATTAGACTATTTATCTGTAAATCGTCGAGTAAATTTGTCAAAAGTGAAAATCGAATTTTTCGAAAAAAAGGGAAGGGGGGGGTGCCAGAGATTTTCGACGAAAAAAAAAAAATTTCAATTTCTTCTGAAACAAGTATATTTGCTTGCGGTGGTCAATTACAATCATATTAGGAGCAAAAATACCCCCAAAATCCTTCCCACTGTCGAGAAAAAAATTCCTAAAGGAATTGAAATTTTTGATGAAATTAAATGTTATTTTATTCCAATTATTTTTTGAAACAGAGCTTGAAATACGTCCCATGGGTACCTACAGACACGTATTAGACTATTTATCTGTAAATCGTCGAGTAAATTTGTCAAAAGTGAAAATCGAATTTTTCGAAAAAAAGGGAAGGGGGGGTGCCAGAGATTTTCGACGAAAAAAAAAAAATTTCAATTTCTTCTGAAACAAGTATATTTGCTTGCGGTGGTCAATTACAATCATATTAGGAGCAAAAATACCCCCAAAATCCTTCCCACTGTCGAGAAAAAAATTCCTAAAGGAATTGAAATTTTTGATGAAATTAAATGTTATTTTATTCCAATTATTTTTTGAAACAGAGCTTGAAATACGTCCCATGGGTACCTACAGACACGTATTAGACTATTTATCTGTAAATCGTCGAGTAAATTTGTCAAAAGTGAAAATCGAATTTTTCGAAAAAAAGGGAAGGGGGGGTGCCAGAGATTTTCGACGAAAAAAAAAAAATTTCAATTTCTTCTGAAACAAGTATATTTGCTTGCGGTGGTCAATTACAATCATATTAGGAGCAAAAATACCCCCAAAATCCTTCCCACTGTCGAGAAAAAAATTCCTAAAGGAATTGAAATTTTTGATGAAATTAAATGTTATTTTATTCCAATTATTTTTTGAAACAGAGCTTGAAATACGTCCCATGGGTACCTACAGACACGTATTAGACTATTTATCTGTAAATCGTCGAGTAAATTTGTCAAAAGTGAAAATCGAATTTTTATCAGATGGCAGACCCGTGCCCATAGGGAGCTGCCCCACCACTTACACACACTAATACCAACCTCCTTGTATATGAGTTCTGGCGTTTCGTATCTCTTCGAGGATTCGAGAAAGGCGGCGAATGTCAGTCTATCTTTTTTGCTCTTAACACAGCCGAAATTCGATTTCGCATAATCTTGAGCCGAGATTCTCGACTGCCCAGGCATTTTTGACTTTCCGTCCTATGTAGGCGTATAAGCAAAATACCATAATGAAACAAAAATTTTGTTTACGGAAATACACGTTTTAGGACCCCTTGATCATATTTTAACTATTAAAAAAAAGACATTTTTTTACTATGCTTATGAACGTGCGTTCATATATTTATACTATTAATACTATTGGGTCTAAACAACCGAATAAATTTCACTGTAATTTTTAATTTTTAAATCTGAAAATATTTGAGAATACTGTCCTATTTGTCCTCTTTGTTTAGCAATTTAAAAAAACGCTGACTCATTAAAATCAATCATGAAAATGAATGGAAGTTGACACCGCCCCTACTGAAAATAAAGGACTGGAAAATTTTTGTTCTTTCAATGAGGGAAACTCTTTTACTTAATCTTTTTCGAAGGCGAAGGCGAAAAAGTCGATTTCGCCACGGCAACAATGGTTGGACGCGACGCGTGGACATTCCCCCGAAATAGAGGATCGGCTTTTGTTTTCCAGAAACGCTAGCGACAATGTATTTTCCAAGAAAGTCGAATGTAAGGACCACTGAAGGACGCTCAGTCTACGATACATTTATGACAGAGTTTTGGGGTGCATGTGGCCTAAAGAGCGAATGAGACTAAACAGGCCTGGCAACGGGTGACGCGATAGCGGACGACCGCGTTGGGTCTCCAGGTAGCACGTGTCGAGGCATTGATTGTTTATGAATAGAGAGAGAGTAGTTAAAAGAGGCAGACGACCTGACGTCGTACTGCTGGAAAAAATGAAGACTTTGTCCTGAAGGATCTGGCCACAGAGTGGGGAAGGCGTGGGACCTTCCGGTAAGAGCACTGTGAGGAACGGCACAGGACTTACCCCAGAACCGTCAAAGGCAAAATTTCTAACATACAGGCATGTCTCTATAAATTTCAAATCCATTAATCAATATGAATTTGTGATATCATGTCAGCCAATTTCGAAAATATGGTTTCGAGAAAAACTCATTTAAAATTTCTTGTATGATTATTAACCGTTGGGTACTCTTCCTTCTAAATGGCTATAACTTTGTTATTTTTACGAATTTTTTATGAGTCTACGATTATTATAATTGCTAAATGAAGAGGACGTGTTCCGAGTCAAAAATCAGTTGCGGGGTTTTAAAAAAGGACAGATTTGCAGGTTTGTTCTCATTAATGTTTGCAGCGTGTTTGCGAGGGATGTGTCCGATATATACATATGTATATAATCAATTCATTTTCCTTCAATAATTCTCCATTGCAAAAATTCTACAGTATTCTTACATTTTTTTATATTTTAAAATTTTCCCATGTTATTAGAAAGTAGATATACGACGAAAGTTATACAACTTATAGTTCCTAGCATGTATAACATGTATATGTATATAACGCATGGTCGCTTCGTATGGAAAGTCAATGAATCTTCAAAAAGCGCCCAGGTCCGATTTCGAGAAATGTAAGGTTTGTCAGTCACGATGGCTTTTGTCGTTTACTAACGATTCGAACAGGTGGCGATGCCAGCAGGCTTGCTTTCGAGAAATGTAAGCGACGTCAGCGATGCAAGAGCGAGAAGGAAAGCGATTATCAGCCTGTCCTTCTCGGCTATTCCGAAACTCAACGAGCTCACGTACACGCAATTGGGCATAGTGTGCGAAAGTGACGAATGAGAAGTTTCCGAGGCCCCGATGCACAGTCTGATTAAACTGATTTCGAGTCGCAAATACGTTTCTGGCGAGTTATTTTTTTAATAAATGATGTATTACAATTTAAAATAAAAAATAGAGAATTTGCGGTGTACGTATCAATGAAATACATCCTTAGGAATTTTAATAATCTTGAAATTTGTAAATACTCTTAATCGATTGATTTCTCCAATGAAATTAATCGATTAATGTCCAATGATAGACCCTACAGCTTTAATTCCGTTAAAAAATAATAAAATTTATGCAATTTTATTTTCTGTCCCACTTCCTCTTGTGTTAATTTCTGAATCTGTTGATAACGTTGCGAGTGACACGAAAATGGTACTGGGGTCCCGGGACCCCAGAAACTCCGGCCGAAAAATTACATTACGTGAAACGTCTATTCATATATCTCGTCTGTGTTCATATATCTCGTCTGTGCGTTCGCTTCTCATTATTAGACACGTAGCGGCACATAACGGTAACCATCGGTACTTCGATGTTTGTTTCGCGTGCCGAGAAGTTATTATCTGTACATCAAACACCGCCGAAACGTTATCTGACGAATAAAAGAAGTATCAAATAAATTTTCATAACGATTAAAATTTCGTTCAAACGTTCAAACATCCTTAGAAACTACATCGAACGCGCCCGGTCCCGTTCATTCCGACAGCCGATCACCCTCCAACCTACAGTTTCGAAGTTTCCAAATCAATCCACCATGGTTAACGCGACGAACGCCTGGCGTCACGACGCTTCGCCACCATACGTTTTTTATCGAGTAGGCGAGCGTGCGTGCGTCGATGTCGGGAGAGTTCGGGTAACCTCGCGGTTTGCTCGTCGGTCTAAACGTCCCTGTGATTCCCCATTCACTCACACCCATCCACCCATACGGGTTAGCATCTCGGCGCACGAGGAGTGGTTGGCAAGTAAGAGAGGTGCGCAATCGACGTGTAACGCCAGTGTGCGTAAAGCGTGCGCGTGTGCAGTCCAGCGTATCGTTTTGAAGCGCAGTCGTGCGTATGCGTGGCCGCGGTGCAGAGAGGAACCCGACGTTGAAAGAGCAAAAGGTGCGCGCGAGCGTAGACAGAACGGCGGCGTCGAGCGCGAGCAAACGGAGTCGGCATTGGTAAGCGCGATTAGCCGAAAACGCGCAGTCGCGCGTCGATCCTGTCGGGTGGGAGGTGATCAGCTGTAAACACGCGAGGAGCGAAATGTTCGTCCTGCAAAAGTCTATATTGTGAGTACCCGAAATTTTTAACGCAAAAACCGCGTACGAGGAACGGAGAGAGTCTCGGTTCGAAGACGAAACCCGCTCCGCGTCGTTGCACACCGGTGCAGGGCAGCAGCACGCACGTGCGCGCCGCGATTCCGGACCACACCGGGCAAAGTGGAAAAAGCCAGTGGAATATTCACGAGAAGGGCCGTTGGTAACCTAGCTTATGCCGCAATGCAGTGCTGAAAATAGGAGCGCGCAGAGAATCCACGATCGATACGAGGCCACGTTACTCTGCGCTCTGTAGGACAGTGCCAAACACGATTGTATCACGCTCGCGTTCCGGTGGCATTAGAAAATTCTGCCCTTCCGGTCCATTCCTCTTTCAGTCTCATCCTCACGGGCCACCTGATCCCTGCGCGTGAGAAAAGTTCGACGACCATTCCCCGTTTCGTTCCACCCGGAGTCGTCCTGTTTCGTCCTTTCTCGCGGAGCGTCGACCTCCTCGACCGCCCGTGCGACGTCCAAAAATTCGAGGAAAGATGGATCTCGGGTTTCGGTGAAACTTCCGATCGCGAACGACGATCTTTTATGTCGGGCTAGCTTGCATCGAGCATCCATCTACCCGAGCGTCTCGTTCGTATCAAACGCTTAGTGTAAACGATGACAAATCGCATTGCTAAGGTAACTCATAGTCTTTACAAAGTAGTCAGCCTCTGGGAATAAGTTACTAGAGGTAACAAAGAATGACGAAATTCCATACATTGTATGAGTCGATCGTCAACTTGCATCTATCTTTGCTTCCAATATAGCGAGGTTCATCAATATTCCAAAGATGCGATAGAAAATGGAATGCAAGCTATTCGTGATGGAACGTCGAAATTTTGTTTTATTTTGTGTAAAATAATTATTTGGCGGTTTAACGAATTAAACAATTTCGGAATAAACATTAATGTACTTTAAAAGCGACTGGAGTAAACTTGAAACGCTCGGTGCAAACGCAATCGAATTACATTAATAAATGAAAGATGACAATTTAATCAGCCTTAACTGAACTCCTTGCACTCGAGTTGTCTCTAGAAATTAAACGATAATGGTAATCTGAGAACAAAACAATGAAATTATAAATTACGATGATAATCTGGTTGCTTCGTTTTTTTCAAGTTGGAATTTCATTGTTTTGGTTTTACGTTACTGTTGTTGTTTAGTCTCTGAAGGTGACCAAAAACTCAAGTATCGAAACGTTCGTACAGAGCTTGAGTTTGGATGTATTTATTTCTTTTGATTGTGTTTGTCGACACGAACCGCTTTGTTATCGATTCGGTTTGGCGCACCTATCGTCGTAACGAGATTTTTTTATTGATCGGGGGAGATGCGTGAAGCTACGTTACAATGTACCTACGTTTCGAAGTCAGCATTTCCAGCTACATTTACAGTTTTTATCGTAAAATTACAAGTAGACTGCAAAAAAGTGCAATTTGGAGTATGCGATACTAAATCAAACGAAGATCTTGATTGTTAATTATAGCAAGGATACAAAAGTTTTTCGCGACAATTCACCGATATTCATTAGATCAGATCGGAAGCAAAAGCAAGGTTAGATTTGTCATGCACGAGACACGATAATGCGGACGAGCCTTGAAATTTAACTATGTATATTAACAGGCTTGTTTAGAAAATTACAAAAACGCTCTAGAATCAGTTTCTCCACTATTTTTCTACAATATCGAACTGTTTTACATGCTTCTTAGCACTGTAGAACGACTCATTAATGACTTCCACAATAGCTGAATAATATTTCCTTTGTGCAAGTAAATTTGTTACAATTTCTTTTTTCGGAAAGTGTTATTTCTTGTTTGCGTTTCTTTACGTGTTTTCGCTTCTTTCTACCGACCACGACAAACGAACGTTAATGAGGATGACAAATTAATATCACAATAATCGCCAGATGGTCTCTGAATACAAGATACGCGGCGCCATTTAAGAGCTTGGTGCAGAATTTTCTGGAAAAATATTCTATGTCAATACTGAAATATTTGGATTATTTTTGGATAAAGAAAACTTTTTACTTGTTTATCCTTAGTGTCATAGCATTTTTATTATGACGATCATCATGCAAGGTCATTCAAGGCCATGCAATACAATAGATAAATACCGATACGATGCCTGATGTTTTTTCATGTTGTCGGTCTAACATGCTTCTAAGCTATGACATGTATATAAATACACAATTAATAAAAACAGTAAATAGTGAATTCCTTGCATTGGCCGTGCTAGAAACTAATAATTCTTTAACTTGTCGTTAGTGTCAATACTGTTCTTAGTGACCAGTTTATGTTTAACAGCTGCTGCTATCAGCAAACAGTTTCCCTTTTTAGAGAAACTCAGAAAAATTCAATAAGGCTGGGATCAACTAAAATATGATTCTAAATATAAATTATTAAGGAAAAACGAAAGAACTATCAAACATCGATTGTCTGTTTTCCGATCTATAATTTTGTAACACACTTTTGTTCGTGACTGTACATGTTTTTAAAAGAATTCATGTGACGCGTCGGTTTATTTCTATAACCTCACAGTGTTCAGCGTTTTAAAGAGGATTCTCGGAAATTGACAGTACTGCGGTTTCCATAAAGCAAAAAATAGAAATACTTTGACTTCGTTTAATTTTGCGCTGTGTGCTCAAATTGTTTCTGTTCCAGGATGTATTTTCAAATTTATTTGTGTGGTCTGTACAAACAATACTCGACTGCAACCCCTTACCCCTTTATCATTAACTTAGTTTTATACAACAATGGACGACACTTCTATTAAGGTATTAATAATACCTACTGTTTATATTGTATTATAACTCCATTGGCATACACATTTACTAATTACCGGTTTGGTAAATATGGCTCGCAAAACAAACCTCTATAAAGTACTATATGACCAAATAACCTTGTACATAATGTTTCGAAATAAACTTGACACGAACAATTAGTACACAGTAACCGACAGAAGACCGTGTAACCAAGCCTCTATTTTCACTTTCATTTACAGTACGATGTTAAAAGAAGCAACAAACTATTGTTTGATTTTATTAAAGTTACTTTGAACACAGCTTCCTTCGGTTCAATTCGTTTTAGTTTTATGAAAACACAAAGGACAAGTTCGACGTACTCAGTGACTCAAGTATTCCAAGATCATTCGAAAATAAAAGTCATTTGAACTTGAAACGAAAGTCGTGAACTTATAAGACGTCTCGTAAATATAGTAAAAAGTATCGAATACCACAGTCTTTATTCAAATATTTAAAAATAACTACAGAATTTTGATCGAACGTTTAAATAAAAATTACATTTAACCCGTTTGCATCATACATATAGAATAATAAAAAATATGGCCCTATCGCTATATATTTCTTTTAACCCAGTCTAATGATAATAGCCAGAGAAATTACGCATGTAGATACATATATGAGCTAATTATGAAAATGGGTTAAACCTAACTGCTTAAAATAAAGTGAAATTTAATATTTAAATGCTTGCAATAAAGTAAAATGAATCATGTAATTACAATTATGCTTTTACTTGATTAAAATTTCGATTTTTTATTAAAATAGTACGGTGGCCGTTTAACAGATATTTCATGTAAAATACGTTTCTAAACACCCAGTATATAATGTGATTCTTCTTTCATTGTAACACATTGTTTCTTGGTTATTACGTACGTGAGTAAATGTCGCAAATTTTGCGTTGCACAGCGATGAGTAATAAAGGAAGCTTCCTCTCGCGCGAGCCTTATAAAATAATTCCCTTCTTTTTTACGTGAACAATTTGTCGTGAGAAGTCAGAAGTAAAGAATCATAACATACGTCATGGCACCTGTCACTTTCGCATCGGTAAAATTATATCGGCGCTTTACGTAACACGTTAAATCGAATAACTTACATAATGCATGCTAAGCATGGATTTATTATTTAGAGCGTTCAAATGGAATTCTATGTGGCCACATTGTACGTTACGCAGAGAATGGCGTAAAGTTATGTGAAGTTGCGGTAATAATACATTACCACAGACAAGAAACAGTTTACGACTACTTTTTCGAATGCATTTAGTGATAAAAGTTATTGCATATTCATGCCCGTTAGGCAAACGATTTATTATCTTAAACGATGGAACAAGCTCGAAAGGAAGAAGTTAATTTAATTGCCACAAAAAAGCCGCAACAAAATCTACATGATTTCAGTAATTTCAATATTTTTATGCGCGTCTAGCAAGGATACTTATACTATACAAAAAGATGTACTCTCGTTATATACAAAGTTTGCAAAATTAGTCAATAATGTCAGAAACATCTTTGTTGCATCGAACAGAAAAATTGCAAATAATTTTCCTGTAAAGTTCTAGTTAAAAATTTTATAAATAGCGTTGCAGCAATTCACATTCAAGTTGCGTATCTTGCGCGCATAAATACATTGTAACGAAGAAAATCATTCTGCAATAATGTGTGCACGACTATGTGCGATTCTACAACAAACTGGTATGTGCGATATGTGCTTCCGTATGGGAAGGTGACGTCACTTGACGTCACGCAGCTGAACTCATTCGATGACGAGGAAACCGTAATGATCAAGGCCACCATGTGATACGCAATAAACCTAATTCTACAAATCAGTTGCGTAAAGGGACTATCGATTCGATCAAAACTAACTAGACAATTCTAAAACCATATTTTTTAACTGTTCCATGAACGAATATGTAGAAGACATTTTACTACACAGATTAGGATAAACAGTATTACGAAATAAATATTATAAAAAATATAGTTCGAATGTGCATACTTTATTTTCGTAAAACAATATTGTACTCGAATATGACAACAATTTGCAAAAAGTAACTGTCCGTAGGTATGGCATAACAAACATATTTTCTTTTAGAACAGAATGATTTGAACGAGCATATTTTTCGGAGTTATTGCTTTAAATCTGGCCGCATGCCACTGAAATAATAATAGATTACCCTGTTCTCATTCAGAAATGAAGTATATATTGTTATTACACCTAAACGCGTGTCTTTAAAATACCTTTCCTTTCATTGTATAATATTATTAGTGTCGCGTAAATAGTTATTAAATTAAATGCTATATACGGAACGGAAATCATTGAGGCAAGTTCTCCGGTATTATCACTGCTCATCAAACGCGATCAATTGCAGTCAAACATTTAATTCCCGGTTCAGTTATAACCAGATCAAACTGATACCGGTGTGTTACACGACGTCCAGCTATTATCTATACTTTACGGTTAATTGATAAATCCTGTCTCACTAGAATGCCTGATAATAAGCTCTTGATAAAAGTGTATTGCACTTGACTCCTACATGCGAAATTATCGTTGACGGGGATCAAATTAAACAATGAAAATTATCATTTAAACTTAACAACGCACTCCAAAAAATATGCCACACCGAGAATATAATTATAGCGCAAAGAATTAATTGGCTAAAACGACAATGAGGTATGCCAAATGAAAATATTGTAGGTGCCAAACGCAATCTTGTATAATTTTTATCGTCTTTACGTAATATATACCTAGCAAGTTCTAAGTTTTTCCTGCATTCTTTGTTCATTTTCGTTTGATGACTTTCGAACACCAAGGTATAGTATGTACTTATAATGAATATATTATTATCGCATGATAGGCATCGAGTTATCGGCGCGATACACAACTTTTCTTGTTGCGTTGCCTTCAGAATATTTTTAATCGATACGAACCTTTTCCTAACATTTTTAGTGTCACGATACCTTCGTTCTCGTAGCACAGCATATATAAAATATTTAACAGTACGCCAAGAACTTAACCTTGTAAAATACTTTTAAATACGATCATCATAATATAACAAGATTGTTTAAAATCAAATGATGGTTACATACTGAATATTATCACATTGTTTGAACATTTTCACTACTATATTGTTCTGTTTGGACAAACCTGCAGCCAGAACTACACAAATATTATCTACGAAACATTTGTTTTGCCGTGCTATTTCGCTAGCATGGATGTGGGTTTTAACAATCTGCCATTGGATTCTAATTTACGAGTCAATTTACGAACGAAACGTAAACGGACGAAATTAATTTGCAAATGAATCTGAAATGTTTATTCGTTACTTATGAATCAGATTTGCCTAACAATGCATGCAGTCATATGCTCTCTATTTCTCATACAAAAAAAACAAATAAACCTGACATAAAAACGGGAGTTCAGGTTAGTTCAGTAACACTTTGTGTAACAATACAATTTGAAAAGTATATTTAAGAACATAATCTATTTGTAATTACACAGTTTATCTCGTCTATCGTCGTTAAAATGGTCTACGATTTGGCACAAGGTTGCGTGCCACAAGACTGTTCGTGTCGTGACTTCTTGATTTACATCCCTATAAAATATTTGGCAGCATAATTTGATCATATTTTATTGTTACCCTTATACCTAGCAAGGAGTGTTTCCACGAGAAAGATTATCATTTATTATAAGTCAAGATTATTGACGAATGAGTCACGCATTTCGCGAATACAGTTAATCGTGATTTCGCAGAAGTGGTTCTGGTCTGTTCTCACGGGCGTCATTTCATAAAGTTTTTCACAAATGACTCACTTGGTTGAACACACTAATTGGCATGTGCCCCGTTTAAAAGCCTATAAACCAGCAAATATTTGAACGCTGAACCCAATATTGAAATTTTAGAAACTGCACTCACGCTCCTAATCTAAGATAATCATTCTCGTGTAAGAGCCTTCCAACGAAGTTATTTTCTCTGGGGAGAGTTACAAATTTTTTTTGTTCTATCGAGTTGCAACCTAAGTAAGTTTGGTTATATCGAATATTTTTGTTTTCATTGAAAAAGTATGCAGTTAAAAAGACAAAATGTGACCGGAGTACTGTTTTTATACCGAGCTTCAAACGAGTTCTGCAAATATTTTTTAATTTGAATTTAAAAATAAAAGATCGCAACAAAAACTATGGACCGTTTCGTCACATATGTCCGCTATCTAACAGATTGGTTGGATTCTAGAGCTTTTTTACGGGTAGAACATGTGCTCATTCCTTGAATATTATTGCAGCGTTTAGATAGCAAGATCCCCTTTGAATTAACCGAGAGACAGTTCCCGTTAAACGTGCATTTGGAATGACTATAAATACGTCACAAGGGCAAACACTGGTGGAGGTTGGAGGAATTCTGCGACCAACTCCCGGTCATGTTGAAATTCTATGCGACATTCTCGAATGTTAGGTTATTAAACAATAAAATTTACTTCGAGTATACAAATTAACGCGATCGGTTCGTTAAAGAAATCGAATATCGTTCGAACATATAATTTCTTAAGCAAAAATTTCTCTGAGAAGCGTAGAAAAATAAAAGTAAACCTAATTTAGACAGCATTATATGTTTTTTTTCTTTTACGAAAAATTACATTATACGTATAGTTGTTTCGTAATCTGATTGAATGTAGGAAACTTGGTTCGATAACATCAGGGTTAGTCACGATTCTGTAGGTAACGGACAACATTTCTATCAGGAAAAATTCGCTTGCGTCTAGCAAAGATTAGGTTAACTACTCGAGTCTGAATCGAAAAATTCTATGCATAAATCCGATAATTATTTACTCCTTTCGCGAAAGATTTATATCTGCTAGCCTCTGGGTGAAAATTAGCAACGAGATAAATTTTAATAGCACTCATCTTGCGACTTATGGAGGAAATTTTGAAGCTTCGTTAAAAATCATAACCATAAATGATCTAGAAGGGGGGAAAATCTATATGCTCTTAAAAATCGCAAAATATTTTTACTTGAAAGAATAAAGTGAATAATTAATTTGCTTGTTGTGCGTGTTAGGTCAACCAGCAGCAGAAATTGTGCAGGATCATGGGCTCGAATCCTCCCAGCCTCGCACCCTGCCGCGAAGGATATTCAGCAGAGGGACATCCACGAGGTGTGCGGAGACGTTGTACCGATCAATATGGTGAAAGGTATTGGTCATTTAAGGGATCCCCGACTTAATAAGGTACATACTAATTAAGTCCTTAATATACCCTATTTGTATCGACTGTAGGGGTTGATAGAACTCATTCAGTGAAACAAAAAGCAAGTTAAAAAAATACTGGCTCTATTTGTAGACAATTCTGCAAGATATTTTACTTTTTTCTTTAATTTATATACAAGGTATAATAATAAAGAATAAACTCTGTAATTACTTCAGTGTAAAGACTTTTTTAGGAAACACGACCATTTCACACTGAGAGGTCGTTGTTAGAATCTTTGCTCTGAAACTAACAGTGTCATAAATATTACGAATTTTTAAATGAAAAGTACTTTGCATGGGCCTGTGTGTCATGGAATGAGAATGAATTTAATTTTCTATACTGTCGAACAGGGTTTGGCATTTACTCTGAAAGAAAGGATATCTTTGGGTATCCACGGTCTGCAGCCACCGAGATTCAAAACTCAAGAAGAACAGCTGGCTCTGTGCAAGGCTTCGGTTATGAAATATACCGAGGACCTAAATCGATATCTTTATCTCGTGGAACTGCAGGTAAAGAAACATAAACCTACTCAACAACTTATAATAACGTACATGCTTTCAATTATAAATACGAAACGCTTGTCTGTTGCAGGAAAGAAACGAGAGATTATTTTTCCGTCTATTAAGCGAGAACATCGAGCAAATGATGCCAATTGTTTATACCCCTACCGTGGGATTAGCCTGTCAGAAATTCGGCGTCATTTATCGCAGACCTCGTGGATTGTTTATTACAATATTCGACAAAGGTCATATTTACGAGATCCTGAACAATTGGTTCGTATTTTTTAAATATCATTTAAACCTTCGTGTATCCATTAACGATAGAGTTTGGTTTCATAAGAATTATACTTCTATTATTTTTCTCTATAATTCTGCTTGAATAAGACTCTTTTCTAAAATTTAGCGATGGAGTACGTGATATGATTGTAGTGTTAAGTATTATATCAAATAATCTGCAGTAAAGCAAGTAAAGAATTTCTTGCGTTTAACTGCTTATAAACAAGATATCGAAATACATAGTGTAAATGTTTGTGGAAAGTGGGACACATGTGCTCGCACGTGCATTCTTAACTAGATTTTCGGTATCATGAGTTTAGATAAAGAAGCAACTGTCACAGATATTCTGTACGCGAACTTTAAACAGCTACACTTTCATATGCGTCGTCTGTCATCTGTATACGTTATTAATGCATAAACAGTTAACAGAATATCCAAAGAATTCAATGTTTTTTAGTTTTTATTTTTGCTTTGATAAATGTAAAATCATATCCTGATTAGAAAGTGGAAAAATGTCTAGACTTTAAGATTCAAGGACAGGAAGAACATATAGTTTGCTTTTTCAAACGATAGCGCAACAAACACTTTAATCACGTAGATATACGTAATCCGCCGGAAGGAAAACCTTAAATATTATGATAACTGTTTAACAAAGATAAACAATCTAAACAAACGTCATTCGCTACGCGATATATAATTGAAATCCTCGATAAAATTCTTAAGACCACACATCGTTTAACGTGCATGTATCGAAGGCCTCCTTTTATTTCTTACGTTACACAAAACGTTAAAAGCAATTTACGCTGTTAACACGGACGATTATTTTTAACGCAGGCCCGAGCAAGCAGTTCGCGCGATTTGCGTGACTGACGGGGAAAGAATTCTTGGTCTGGGTGATCTGGGAGCGTGTGGAATGGGAATTCCAGTAGGAAAATTAGCTCTTTATACAGCTCTGGCAGGCATTAAGCCACACCAATGCCTGCCAATTACTATTGACGTAGGCACAAATAACGAGCAGCTCAGAAACGATCCGCATTATATCGGTCTCAACAAACCGAGAAGTCAAGGCGGGGAATACGACGAATTGATCGATGAATTTATGGCTGCTTGCGTGAGGAAATATGGTCAGAACGTTCTCATACAAGTACGTTTCTAAAAAAAAAAATATACTACTTGCCCTGAAAATTACTACTTTTATTCTTCCTGTAGACCAATGCAGATGCTTTACGCTTGCAAATGATTACAGTTTGAGGACTTCGGGAACCACAACGCCTTTCGATTCTTAGACAAATACCGCGATAAGTATTGTACGTTTAACGATGACATACAGGGCACCGCTGCGGTTGCGGTTGCCGGAATTTTAGCTTCCAAAAGAATAACGAAGAAATCGATGAAGGAGAATAGGTTCGTCTTCTTAGGTGCCGGCGAGGTACGCAAAATATATCATAACAGAATCTCAAATGTAACAGTTATTAACGATGTGCAAACTTCTTTGCTAATTTACGAATGTTACTGATTTATTTTGACGAGTAACGGGTCCCAATTTAGTTCACTACTTATTACATACAAATTTGAATTCGACATATCAAAAGAATCCAAAAAGGAAACATTTCATTAATTGAATTATGAGATTCACCTTTACCCCATAAGTGAGTAAAGTGTTACAAGTAACACGAAAAAATTAACGAGACCTGTCTGTCCTCCAATGCTCCTAAAAAGAAAAATTAAATTACTTTTGAGTAAATTTATTTGTTTCGATCGCAGGCGGCTATCGGAATAGCCGATCTTTGCGTCAAAGCATTGGAAGCGGACGGATGCACGGAACAGCAGGCTCGAGATAATATTTGGATGATGGACATCGACGGATTGCTCGTTAAAAACCGACCGGATGGTAACCTGGATGGTCATAAGGTCTGGTACGCGAAAGATCACAAGGTGATGAAAAACCTGATCGATGTTGTGAAAGAAGTGAAACCGACCGTTCTGATTGGTGCGTAAACTTTTGTTCATCGACATGCATCGATTTCTGTCTAAAGTAGAAATATTCAAACAGGCGCATCGGCGGCTGCAGGAGCGTTCACTCCTGAAGTATTGAAAGAAATGGCCAAGAACAACGAAAGACCATTGATCTTTGCATTGAGTAATCCCACCAGCAAGGCCGAGTGCACGGCTCAGCAGGCGTACGACTTCACGGATGTACGAATATTATTTATTGTATTAAATTTTGCAAGAATAGGCGCGTTGCTAAAATCACGGAAAATATTGTTTCCTCCAGGGAAGATGCATTTTCTCGTCGGGATCGCCGTTCGGCGAAGTGAATTACAACGGGAAAATTTACAAACCCGGTCAAGGAAATAACGCGTACATATTCCCTGGAATCGCATTGGGCGTCATCGCGACCGGATGTCATCACATCACCGAGGATTTGTTCCTTATTTCCGCCCAAGCAGTCGCCGATCACGTGAAAGACGAACATCTTGAGATGGGTAGCCTGTATCCACCGTTAGGCACCATTCGTGAATGTTCGATAGACATTGCTATTCGAATTGCCAATTACGCTTACGCGAGAAGTAAGTTGCTCGTCGTTATTTCGACTTACCTCGTCTTACGATTTCTAAGATAGAAATATAAGAATACGATTTCTATTTTAACCCTGTATGCGTTATTGTATTTTTCAAAAAAGAAATTATTTATTTTAATTAATTATCGAAATAATTGACTAAATTTTTTAGATACAGGAAATGAAATTTCAACTATCTAGGTATTTTGAAATCTGCATATAAAATCCTTTCCTTTTCAGCTGGATTAGCGAGCGAATATCCGGAACCGAAGGATATACGCAAGTTTATCGTGAGTAAAATGTACGATGCCAACTATGACAGTCCACTACCAAATGTTTATGGTTGGCCGGGCGATTATGCTAACCCTCGCATTCTGCCAGAGGTGTAAGTATTCCAACATTTTCACAAATGACCAAAGTTCCCTATGTCACTTACAATTTCATCATACAAGCACTATGAATAGAAGGAAGTTTTTTAGTAACGATTTACATAATTAGGAAAATAACACGTAGTTTGATAGAAAGTAGCAGTAACAGATAGAACTCACTTAGGAAAGTAATAATGTGTAAAAGAAATAGCGAGTTTAGACGCAAACGAGACTGCAATGGTATCACGATTAGCAACACAGTACTTTAACATTGCACGTAGCTTCTTAATCTTTCGAAAAAGTAATGGCACTTGCAAAGTAAGTTTTGGTAGTAGCTGCAACGCAACTAATTTTATATGCTCAATTTCACGCCAGTATTGTACGTATACTAATCTTTCTTTGCGAAGAAAAAATAACCATGACAAAATTTTAATTTTTTCTCCGCAAATTGAAACTTTTATGCAGGATAAACTACGTAATTGGTCCATCCAAATTATTCTTCTTAGTTGACTAATCAAATTTTGTTTTATAATCGAGAAACATTTAAAAAATTTGTTTATATTTTTCTTTATATCTATCTTTATATCTGAGTTCTATACCTTGTCTCAAGATCTGATTAGATTTTTAGCAAAATCGATCTATTGATAATGATAAGTACCACTTGTAGTTTATTGGTTTTTAAAGTAAATATTATCTTCAATTGTTTTCATTGTCAACTAACAATAAAAATAATACAGGTAGAGAAGTTACGTGGTTAATTCTGTATAATAACTGCTTGCTTTAAGGGCTGTAGTACCATTATTTATCAGTAAACAGCATTCTTTTACCATCGGTTCGTTGCTCGACAGCGATTGATTTCGTTACAAGCAGCTGAAGCTTTAATTAATTTTTTTCAGAGAGACTGTAGAAATCCGCCACGATTTAAAACATCTGTAGCGGGTTTTACCGAGCGGGATATTCAGAGGCTATCATTATTACTATTGTCGATAAAAATATCGCTGTGCCCTGAATTGAAAATATAAGACAGGTCGTGGCAAATACAGGCAACAGTGCAGTTTTAAACAGTTTTAACTGTAAGGACTGTTACTTTGTCAGTGACTAATACCAGTGCTTTTACGATGTAACTTGCACGAAGTGTTAAAGCACGAAAAAAAAAAATCACGATGACATAGTGCTATTACTACAGCATCGTATGTCGCAGTAAGCTAACATTGCAGTATTTTAATGTCCTCCTTCATCCCATAAACAGTACAGTATTAGGATTGATAATTTAGCGCTCGGAATCATGATAGGTGTTAATCATTGAAAGTATTTAAAGAAAGTTTATGGACTTGTTGTCCATGTACGCTCTACAATTACGTTTTACGAAGCAAACAAGTGAAATAGTAACGTATTCCTTCGTAGATTAAAGCACTTCCATGCAATATATTATAATTTTACAATATACGAATAGTTTAATACACCGATACTTATACGGTGATAGTTTTCGATCAAGAAATGAATATGAAGGTGACAAGTGTGAACGCACATTTCGTTTTTTCTATTCATGTTTAATTTTTTAAAACAAACTTTTCTTTTGAAATTTTACTTTGAAGAAACAATGCCCTTTTGATATAGAAACTAATTCTTCGTTGTATGTTTAAGGTTGCCCGATTTTTCCTTTACGGACGACCTTCAAGTGAATGTCAGAAGTCCGTAAACCCACCCCGAAAAAACCAACATAATTCCTCAGCTCATATCCTCTAACATGCTTTTACTTTGCGATGTTTTGTATTTATATACACTATCCCAATATACATTTCTCAAAGACTTTGAGTAAAGATTATTCTAAATATATTCACTGGAGAGAAGTCGCAAGAAACGACTATTTCTTTCCAATTTTGAATAAATGTCTTATTATTATTTCAGCAATTGGCATTCACGTTCAATCAGTACCATTTTATTTATTCGTATCCGGGATGTCCCGTAATTCTCAATGTAATCGATAAGTGATTAGTATCGCGCACAAAAATAAGTAGCAAACTAGAATAATATTTATTTGTACAAAACTTTGTTTCTGTATATTCTTGACTGAATTTTGACTAAACGAACATGGGTAAAGTTTTGAAATATATTAATTAAAGAAGTGTTGAAGGCATTCTTTCGGTTATAGTATAGAACAAAATCAAAATTTTTGCTATATTTAATCATATTTTTCTTAGACACAAATAGTCAGTTATAAGAAGAACGTTTTATAAATAAATTAACAAAACATACAATTCAGGTACAGAATACAGTAGAACCTCAAACTAAGTCTTGTACGAACAAATTATTCTATACTTTGAAACTTATTTTTATACAACGAATCACTCACATTTCGGTTATACTCCGAATTTCGAGACACTCAGTAGAATGTACATCAAATTATGTTGAAAAAGATCGCGAAAAATCGCGCGTAGAAAATATTTTTATTCCGTAATAAACGTCGAGATATCATGAAATATTTCGCGCTCTTAAATATTAATGCAATTACGTGTCTGTTCCTGAGACATCCTTGATCTTCGTGTTTATCGAGCGATCAGGAAGCATCGTTAAGTGATTCTATGCAAATAAAATGATACAACCTATTTTTCTCTACGTGAAAAGTGTCTATTTTTCAGGGGTGTGTTGGAAATGCCCTTCTTTGCTGTTAATATTTCAGTCTTTATATATACATATATATATGTATATAAACGGTGTATTCTGGTGTCTAGCATGCTGTGCAATACCTAATCCTGTGAAACCTTAGAAAACTGGTACACGCATATAATGTGCTTGCTATGTGTCGCAATGTAATTAATCATTAATTAGCAAGAATGGTTATTAAATTTGGATTACCTATACGTAAGGATATTTGCTGCCACGAGTTTGTTTAATTTGGTTACATAGACATAAAAGCGGTGATGAGTTTAACCAAGCGGCGCGAACTCACGGTGTAATGCCGTTAGCTCGCGATAGATGGACGTTAAAAAATAATCAAAACTGATGCGCCCACGAGCTGATCTTATTTTTGCGTGCACGTACCTCGAATACGTCCACGACGAGTTGCTTGGTTAAACGAGAAATACTGAGAAGTATTATGTTATTACTAACAGTGTTCTTCTCCCAACAGATTATGACGTGTTGGCGAGTCTAAAGACAAGACGACTACTCTGATGTATACACACACGTTTTAAGTTAATTTTATCGAATGCGAAATTAAATGTTTTGTAAAGTGGCCACATCTATAACCGTAGGAAACCGAAATGTTATCGCGTACAGTGTTAGGGAATTGACGGTTTCAATCGAGATTCTTTGCTCGTCGATATTCAGTACTTATTTATTGATAATTTAATTACCGTATCTGTATTTTGTGACGATGTATACGATACCAGTATGTATATGTTATTCGCTAATTCTAAGATCGAATTCTCGTGGCCTGTTTCAACGGAAACTATTTATTTAATTTATTTATGATCTGTACTCTCTAACGTGCCATTTTATGTTGGACAAGTATTATTGCTGCGCGTGAAACGAGTAATGCCACGAAATCGAGAAGGAATTTTTTTTTTTCTTTTCTTGAACTTTCCTAAAGAGAAACCCCGGTGAATAATTCATTAAATTGCAGCAGTATTGTCCACGGAGGCTTCCTCGATTTTGTCTCCTGTAACCATATGCATAAACGGTATAGCTTATTTCGCGTTATTTGTACGCATTTCATATAATTATAATACAGCGTGCAAAAGAGACAAATCAGCATAAAGGGGCTCCATCCGTGGACAGCGCAAGCTCATATGTATGTCGCAGATCTGTGCGACGTGAGTTATACATTAAGTAACTTTGTCGAAAAAGAATGACGAACATTCGGATTAAATGTTCCCATCACGAAAATATTTTAACCCATTATTAGATATACTGTGTAAGGCCATGCAAGTTGTCGCACCGTTTGTTCAATTTAATAACGTATTTGTACACATTATGATCAGAAAAAGAAAAACAGTACAACATTGTAAAAGCCGTATTTTTTGTACCACATTGTAATTTTCACTCTTACGTTAAGTAATATACGAAATGAAAATTGTCTCAAAATGTTCCTGTATGTTACATAAAATAGAAAACTTCGATCGACAACATCGATTAGATTATAATTACTGCCACGCTACAGGCATAAAGCGACACCTGTCGTACGAACTATTGCGGATTCACACTATGTTTGCATAAAAACCATGTCGCGGATGTAGGAGCGAGAAAAGAACGGAAATTATATTATCCAAACGTAACTCCTCGCTCATTGAAATTTGTTACTGTGCGTATAGACTATACACTAAGGCTATTAATAAATGTTAATTCATGATCGTTAGTGCGTCAATTTATTTCACTGTACTCCACTTTCGATAGGTTTTTTTTTCGAAGAGACTTCAATTAAGCGTGAGGGAATTATAATAGTAGATTTATTAAACAAAACTTTATGAAAGTAATTCAACTATGTACATAATTATAAAAAGTATTTTCCTTATTGAATGTTTTCACTCTTTTTCGCACTTACACGTGTAAAAGTTATCTGCATAACAGTTGTCAACAAGTTTTAGCCGTGATATAAACTGCAAATAGCACCAATGAATTTTGATGAATTCATTTTGTACTGCTATAATTTATCTCCAATACATCAATCTGCCATCCGAGTTTCAGTATTTAAGGTAAACTTTCAAGTATTAATTTCTTTTGTAAGTGTTGGATTCATCTTGTGAGTAATTGCATAGAATGTATTGTCCATGAAAGAGACACATTGTGGATAAACATTGTCTGATGTTTCTCATCACATGTTACAGGGTTGAATTTAGTTGGTTACTTTTAATCAGTCCCTAAACGTGCTAATGTACAAAAGTTATACCAACTTCAACTCCTCCAAAGACCCACACGGAAGCGTGCTACTGTCTTAATATGCTACTTGTATTAGATTCCTGCATCCCTTCCATTGAAAATATATTATATTTATTTTAGGCACTATCGTCAGAAGCGTTTGGTTCGTAATCAGGATCGTCGTCGTCATCGTCTTCCAGATCCAAATCATCGAGATTTTGAAACAGACTTTCATCTACCTTAACAGCATCTCCTACAGATTAAAAAATGAGCGATGCATTCTTACTTATTTTCTACGTCTCGATTTAATGTGAACGTTGTGAGAAAATGTGATCACTATGGACGCTGACATACGGAGTTCTTATGCCAGGCCTGACGAACTGGCGGCCCGTGAGCCCACAGTGGGCCCTTTACCCTCACTCGTTCAACCATCCACTTGATCGTCGGAAAGTCGCAGTGTATTACCCCTTTCTCATCCTCGCCACACGCATACTTTGGACGTATACTGTCACTCTTATCACCCCGCACGCACACCGTCATTCTCATCGCCACACGCACACTATTCTCGTCACGTGCACTCTTGGTGAGCATGAAAGTCACAATAGTTCCCGACCAGCCAACCAATTCTCCCACCACCAGATTTCATACTAATTAGGTTAGGTGCCCAGCCACTGGGCCAGAGTAAGCATAGTTGGGAGAGGGGGACAGTTCTACGCATGCGCGAAATAGGAAAGTAGGGAAAGAAGCCACAAGTGGCTTGCGAATCGCTAGTTCGTCACCCCTGCAATACGCGATTGCATATTCTGTTTTTTGTAATAAACATTGTAATAAAGTTTATTATAGAGATTAAAATTATTTTTTTAGCATGCATACGACAGACACGTATATATACACTCTTCGTATGCGAGTGTTCATTTTTAGAAAATACTCTTTGAAAGCGTATATATGTACTCTTTGGAGCAGAAGGGTTAGAAAATTCATAACGATACCATCATCTAAGAATTTGAGGTCTGATTGATCCAATGTTTTGTCTGTCATAAATAATTCTCTGCCTGTTAATTTTTTCCCTTCGCGTTCAGCCATTTCCCTTCGCTTTGTATATCCCATTTCTTGGTCAAACTTTTCTTTCCAACTTAGAAATGTTTCTACAGTGACTCGAGTTCCTTCAAACTTTTTCTATAATAATGAAAATGAAGTCACTTTCACATTTATACACTTTATAAAATTAAATACATATTTAATTAAATATACCCTTTCTGCTTCTTCTTCTTCTTTGAGTTTTTTTGTTGCAGACTCTTCTCTATTTAATTTAATTTTGTCCCACTGTACATTAAGCCATTCCTGAGCAGCACTAACTAATGTGAATACCATAACCATTCCAAGATTTTCATTCATTTCTTCTATTAAATGATGCTTTAATTTTTCTGCACTCCCTTGTTCAAAGTTCTCTTGTTCTTCTATTGATATGAGGAGTGCCTCGTCTGGATACTTTGCAGTGTATGTAAATTCTAAACGACAACTAAGACCATTCACAGTTTCTGGTTCATACTCCTCTGTTTTAATGGGTATGGCAAATGTGTAATATGGTTCAGTAACTAAAACTATGAAAAATTTCTATTTGCAGTGTTTTTACAATTGAAGCCAACAAAACAATAATTAATACAAATTTGTTGCTTCACTAAATCAACAATTTGAATGTAATTATTGAGAAAATAGTAATGTGTTTATATTGGAAAAACAAATTTATAGGTTATGCACCGTTACTTACTTTCCAATTCACCGCAATAGATTGATTTCAAAGCCTCGATTTCATTGTACTGCTCGTCCTCGTAATCCATGGTGTTTGGATTAAAACCAATTTATTAAAGGCTCCTTATGTTACAGATTTAATTGATAACTTCGACTAAATTACAAGAAATCATGTTATAACCATGACAGCAACGGCAAGTAGCGCTGCAAAATTAATGCTGCATACTGCACATGCGCATAAATCGTTTACCAATTTCCGCTTAAAGCCGCTGTTATATTGAAAACGTAGCTTTAAGATCAAAATTTAAATATAATGAACAAAAATCAAAGTGTACAACGCTTGAATAAATAAATGGAAACATATTATACATTGTGCCAATCAAATTTTGTATTTAAAAAGCAACAAAATATGTATCCCACGATTCTTCCAAATGTAATATTTTAAAAATTGATACTGCTTTCAATAAATTAAACTGTACCAAAGTTTCATTATTATTACAAACGGATCATATAAATAAAGAAAGAAATTCTTTATAGGATGAAAGGTAATCTCTCTCATGTTGTTCTTAAAATACATTAAACACAGTAGCTCCGAAAATATGCTAACTGTATTTTTGCGAACGGTCAAACAACATTAATCAAACACAGAGCTGGTAATAAATTTTAACTATTTATCAAACATTGACTTCACAACGAAAACTGCGCGCAGTCATGAAATTCGTTGAGAAGAAACTTACATGTAGGTCAAGGCAAATAAAAATAAGTTTGGAAAACAAAGTGGTTCTTTTTTACCGTTCTCGCTTTTTATTCTAGTCTTAAAAACCTGAACTACATTGTCAGCATTATCTTTCTCGCGAAATAAATGAGTAAACGCCTTTTTATAATAAATATACAATACTTTTGTATTAAGTACCAACACTTTTTTGAGTAAATCTATCTTCATTATTTCAAATTTACAAGAACCGATGTCAAGAATTTTAGTATTGTTGAGGTTTAGGAGTAAGTATAGTTTTGTAAGGCCCATTCTGTGATACGATTCACATAATTTTATTTTAATAGCTTCATTAAGATTATTGCGATAACGTTGCAGATAGATTCGTAAATTATTGACGTATAACATGTGCTTGTAATAGAGTGGAAAGCAGGTCATTTATATTAATGGTGAATAACAGAGGATCGAGAATACTTCCCTGAGGTGCACCTAATTTGATAGGACGCCAGGAGGATTTCACGTCACTTACTTCCTACAAAACCTGATAGCGATCACAGAGATATGTGTAAAACCAGTTAATAACAGCATATGAGCATCCCAAACCAATCAGTTTACTTAACAAATGGTAGTTCATCTATATTTAGTGAACCCAAATAGCTTGAAATATGCAAGAATATTTTTTTTAACCAAAGAAAACAATTCAACGCCGAAAAGGTTAATACATTTTCCAATCGATTGGGTAATTAATCAACCGAGTTTAGACCATGTTCAAACTAATTCCGAACAACTTAAAATCAAAGGTAACGTTAACAGGGATTAAATAAAAGTTCATTTCATCGAAGCATGAGGGTATTATAGAGAATGTAGACATTCTTGTTTAAATATTTTAAATATTACGATAGAGAATTTTGTTGTCTGCTATAAATGTGATAATATTATAACGTCAAATGATTACTACGTTGTTTTCTTCTATAAATATATTTTATGAACATTGGAAATAAAAATGTTCCATGACAATTACACATACTATTAAACTGTCCTAGATTATAGAGATTAATATTTGGATATTATATGTAGATGTAAACGCTAATATATTTGATGAGCATGCTGAAACAGATGGTGTAAATACTTCGGGTGAATATTAACACGAGGTCAATTATAATCCCATAATAAATACATTGATATTTGGGAATTTTGGTGATATTTCAACAACACAAATACAGTGATCTGGATAAAGAGACGACGGGCAATTAGAAAGCAAATATACGACATTCAATAAGAGGGGGATTGAACCAAAATATACTTTAACAAATAATTGCTCAACATAATGATAATAAGTACAGTGACATTCCTGAGGAAAATACTATTTTTAGAATTCCTATTTTGACACCGACGTATAATAGTATCGAGGGTGGTAAAATTGACTTATTTTTTAAAAGAACAAGTAATATAATAAAATTGTGTTTGCTTTTTAAGAATTTGCTTCAGATTAAGCCAAAGATATTTTTGAGATGCAACAGCATCGTAAATGAAAGCATACAGGCATATTCGAGTGTTGCATGTTTTTATGGACACGCGAGAGTTACGGAAAACATGAAAGAAAAATAGGTGTCCGACAAGTGAGCAAGCATAACACACGCGTTTGTTTCTATAACTTTCATAGAAGACGTAGAGTTCGAAATATATTTAGTTTTTTAAAAAAGCATTTGAACTACGTATACGAAAATTTGACGAGAAACGTTTGAAATTTTATTCAAATCAAAAAGTATTATTCAATCGTGTTTCCTCTGACGGTCTACGATATGTCAGACGCCGAATTGGCGAAGATTTGAAACCACAAAGCAGTTTATCGACTATGAAACATGGAGGTGAAAGCATAATGGTGTGGGCGTGTTTCTCTTGTAGAGGCCCTGGACCGATACGCCGAATTAATGGAATTATTGACTAGTTTCAGTATGTAGACGTATCGAAGAATACAATGTTTCCATAAGCACGCAATAACAGTTTCATTTGCCAAAATGATAATGATCCTGTTATCGTGACTTAAACTTAAATCCAAGTGGAATACAGTAAAGACAAGCTAACACCATTTTTTTGTTTGTAAACTAACAACACTCGAAAGCCTCGAAATCTATACATATTTCTTTTTTTAGACGATTTTGTAATTAAATATAGCACTATAGAGGTAACATTATTAAATTTTAAGTGAAAATAATTGTTTTAATTACTTATTATAAAATATCAAAATATAGATTTTTTTGTACAGTTAAGTAAGCATATTTCAGTTATTTATATGTGCCATAAGCATGTTTTAAACCATAAACAAAGAGTGCAAAGTTTTCAACAATTTAAACTTTGGGAGAGCTTATAAAAACATGTGGAAAAGTGTTAGACGTCGGACTTCTTTTTTATGAAAGCTGAGACCATTGTTAACAAGAGCATCTAAATTAGTTTATGTTAAAAAAAGACCATAAAAAGAAAAGATATAAATCGCTTTGGAGGCCACTATATACCGCGTATTGGTATCGCCATTAAAATTTTTGATTTCAGATTCGACATCAGCAATCTCGAAAACCCTAAATTACCAAGTTTTCGAAAGATTCGATGAAGTCTTGAATTTTCGGCGCGTTTCCGACACTTTCGGTCCACCGTGCCGTGGGTGAATTGCACGTGACCGGTTGTAACGAAACGTAAAAAAATGTCTCGTACCGCAAAGGGTTAAATTGTTGGAACGTACCCAGCCCGAATTCGTACGCGGTGCCGGGTAGCGCGCAAAAGCTTGCAGCGGATGTAACACGTCCGTAGACCGTCAGGTGGCCAGGAGAGCAAGCAAGCGCGGAACGCAATCAATATCGTTCGCAGAACGCGACGACGGTGCCTCGTGCGTGGCAGCTCCGGCCGAGCTTTCAGTCGGACGTACGGTCGCGACGAAAGCTCACCCGAGGCTCGCTTCGCCAAGCGCGTGTCCTGCCGCGTCGCAGCCGTATCATCGCGAACCCGCTCGGGGGTGGTGGAGTTGTTAAGCTGCCGACAAAATGGCGACCGCGATACCAAACAAATGACTCCGCGCGAAGAAAGCTGGCCCGCGAGCCTCGCGTGATTTCGACCGGTCCGTGGGTGATCGTCTGCTACTACCTCATAGCCGATACCATTTCGCCGAAAGCACGAAAGCTCGAATGCGTGGACGCGGTCCGCATCTAGGACACTGGGTCGGCTCTATCGTTTCGCGCTCGCGACGACGTGCATTCGGGAAACACCGAGAGGGAACGGTCGTCGAGGGATCGCGGCGCGGATCGGCCGCCACGGCGATCGAATCGATGCTCGCGTGAAGGATTTCGGTGAGAATTCGATTATCGACCAGCGATCCTCGGGGCTCGGGAACGACTGGCGGACTAATGGTATTAGAGGGTCCCGCGCTGTGCCCGCTTCTTAGCTGAGTGACGATCGCGGTTGGTCGCTGCCGGCTTCGATGGCCTGACGAATAACCCAGACGGCTGCCGCGATCGAGTTACGCGACCATGCATTTGCATTTCGAAAAGAACAACAATGCCAAGTGCGACTGCAACATCCTGTCGCTCAGCTGGATGGGCAAGGTACCGGATGAGTCGCCGGAGGTAGGTGATTCGTTCTTTCGCAAGGTTATCGGAGCGTAGTCATCGGAACAAATTGCATAGCCACCTACGGACGTGGCCAAACCGACGTTCTCACAATTTCACGACGAGATTGTTCGTTACGACATAAACGCGCGTACCAAGAATTTTATTAATATTTCGTACGCCCGCCTTTAGCCTTAATTACATTTCACGCGGTTAGGCGTACCTCTTATTAGCCTTGGACATGAATTTTTAATATTTTCATCTTGAGAAGTGCCTCTTTCCTTCTTATGGTAATGTTCGGTAGTTTAGCCGTGACAATCGACCATAAATTTAATCAGGGTTGTATTTAAGCCTGCGTATTTACATATTTGACCAAAAACTTCGTTGCTCATAAATTATAACCTGTTTTTTAATAATCGACAAGATATTGACAAATTATTTCAATATTAAGGCGGTTACCTCGTGTCTTGGGTAAAAAATTCATCTTTTTACGGATTCTTAAAGTTTAGGGTTTTCACGTATTGACGGGAATATGGGCGTTTAAGTAGGAAGGCTTGTAGCAAAAACTTTACCGTAAGCAGAATTTAATAATAAAAACTAACCCCATTGACTTGAAATTTTGGATGTACATAAAATATACATCCAGTTTTCGTTTGAACCATGATTATTTCAACTTCCGTTTGTAATATAGCAATGAGGCATAAAACTTGTAATAAAACTGGTTTTATGTCGTCGTTTCGTCGCAATTATTTTTAATTGAAAATTAAGAACATTAAGAGTTCTTCATTATTTTGTACTTCTTTATTATTATCATATTTATATTTCAAGTCGATCGGTTAAATAACTTTTGAGATATCGTACACGCCGTATAAAAAAGTTATCGTTTTTTAAAAGACTACTTGAAAATTTAGGTGTCAACTCAAAATACTATAATATAACGAATTTTTAAAATTTTACCACAATATTTTCATGAGGTTTCTTTTAGAATTCACTTATTGTTAGTTACTAACAGTTTATCGTCCAGGTAAATTAAAGTTCGACTAATCGAAAATGTGATAAAATTTATATATTGTACGAGGATCGATATGTAAATGTACCTGTACAATATGTAAATGATTTACCGAATAGTTGAAACAAACAAAAAATGACTAAATATGACCTATTTTTCGGTCAACAAAACAAAAGCCCCACTTAAAGTTTTAGCATTCGAGAAAGAACCCTCTAGATCAGCCCTGAATTTTTGGCACCCTGCAGTCAAGGGCGCTACCGTCTTGGCATCTTGCAGTTTTTACGAGTTTACTATACATGTTCTACAAAGTATACGTCACGAAAGCACGTCGAAATCGCGGGCAGCATACAATCACGGTTAGAACCATAGTGCCCCAACTTTACACAAGACCTGGTTGCGATGTTTCTGATTGGGATTCAGCGAGCAGAATAAAATTTCACACGACACAAGTGACTAATGTTTATAATCCTTTGCAGTAGTCTACGATATGGAACGAGATTAAAAAGATTGTTCGTAGAATACCAATGTAATTGAACAAGATCTTCTTAGGAAAACAGTACGTCTGTCTCAAAGTAATCTGTAAATATGTATTTACTATCCGCACGACAAGGTAACCAGTTTCACACTGAGTTCTAGACAACCTTGACTCCTTCACGGAGAAATTAAACGGAGAACTCTGGACAGCAGCTTACGTAAACTCGGTCTGAACGGTAGAAACTTCTATGAAATTACGGATGAAGTCGATGTAAGCGGTAACGATAGCGTCACGAGTCGATTTCAGTCAATTTCCCAAGGCGAATCACACGTACTGGAAAGCTAAAAATATCGCTCCTGAATGGAATTTAAAATTTAACGATATGATTTTTTGACTATGAATATATTCGTCGTACCAGACTATTGAAATTTATATTTTTTGTTTAAAAGGTGAACTTAACCGATCGTCAAGGTACGCTGTCGTGTTAGGTGGATTATCTCACTAAATGTTTCTAAATGTCGGACGCATAATGGCATAATCGAGCCAATAATACTTGTTCAACGCGATAAGGTTGCACTAGTTAAATATCACGAAACGCCAACGCGTGGCGGATCTTGCCGGTCTCGTCCCTTTCTTCCGCTCTTTTTTCGGTGAATTTTTAGATCGTCGAGACGGTCGTCGGTTATTTTAGAAACGCGGACGCTACACAGGATCGAAAGTGTCGATCCTCGCCGCGGTACGCGTCATAGAAACCGTAGACAATGCCCGTCCTGGAGCGTCGAACGTGGTCGTCGAATGCAACTGGAGCAGTTGATACGTCTCTGCATTATATTCTATATTTACCTGCAGGGAAAAATGACCTGAAAACTTGTTATTCTCTAGCCTGGCTTTAAGCCCCTAATTAACGCGTTCACTGCCGTCCGCGAATTAACCCTTGCGCCAGTAATCAAAATATTCACGGTTGTTCAATAACCGAGGCATGGAAGAGCTTCGAACTTCTCTTGTTTCGTTCGGTTGGTTGGTGTCTTTTTGGATCCAGGTATTAATTAGTTTTTATTCATTTCTTTTCTTTATTTTTTATGGACACGTTAGAAATCTAAATACACGAATATTGTTGGAGATAAAATATGGATCTACGAAGATCCAGCAGTGATTAAAATAGACATGCACTGTATTATATAATGCAAAGGTTATATATTTATGGAAGAAAGTTCGTAGCAACTATTTTTTTTTTTTCGAAGGATCATTATTTTAAAACTGTTCGATAACTCTTTTCGTTGTAGTTCGAACTATACTTGGAGGAAGCGTGTGTTTTTTTAGAAGCGTATAAATGTATGCGTAAAGTTTTAAAGCGTTATTATTAAACGCGTTTAAAAAAAGGATTTAAGATGCGTTTGCCATGGAAACGTTGAATCAATTATCCGTATTTCGCGTGAACAGGTTGATTTGTCATTTTGAGCCGTGGCTGGTGCCGCGTGTTCGGTATGAAATTAACGACACTTCGATGCGTTCAACCGGCATTCGTTACGGTTTGACACACGCGCGCAAATTGCCACGTACTCGATCGTTATTCGAGCGTTAACCGTTTCGTCAAAGCGTTCTCGAAAAACCGTCTGACTGAATTCAATTATCTTCCTTTGTAAAATCTTCTATTGGTAAATTTTCCGATTTTACAATTACCGTTCGGCCGAATTCCGATAACGATTAAATAAAAGAGCCATTTAGTCATCAATTATCGTGACATACATAACATATCCTGACGAGTTAGATTTAGCGAAAAAAGTTTAATTGGAGACAATTAATTCTCAAAGCGAGGAGTGTCAATATGCCTAGAGAGGTTAAAAGTAAGGTTAATAAAAAAACCTAATTAATAATTAGTCAAATTAACTTTGAGATGACCTTGCCATTTCCACCTAGAAACCTAATCATATCCATCATAACGTATCTTTGTTTGAACAGTACGGTTTTAACTCAACAGTTTCTTTCGTATCTCTAAACTCAATTGCTCACTTTATATGAATCACTATGTATTTTTTTTAGATGTCACTGGCTAGACATATGTGAATATATTCAACGTATTCAATGAACTGTATCGTCATATATTACCGGCTAAAAATATATCAACTGACGTATCGTTACTATTTATGGCACAGATAGATATGGCAAAGATAATTAGCTTCTACTTGCATTGAAAGTAATTGTTTTATTATAACTGTTTATTCTTATAAGCGACCTTATTCTGGTACACGCTTATTATTAGTAGTGATACTACAATACATTAAAAATATAAACGTTTCTGAAATTATGTGTTTAGTTGCTCAGTTGTATTTAATGCATACATTAAATCAAAACAGTCTCTTGTTTCAGTTTACATAGAATTCTTCATATAAATAGAGAGTTTAACGCGTCAATGTTCGGTTGAAAATGGCCAGCTGCATTCAGGAAATGCTACACCGTTTGTAAACAATTTCAATACTCCGTTGTTTAATAAACAGTTCTCCTCAAAATCTTTGATTAAACTTTACCAGCGTATTCTTCAAATAACATTGATGAAACAATGTCATGCAAAACGCAAGTCAGCGAATATTCTCTTCTAACAAGATAAATTTTGTCCCGACGAATGTGCTGGTCGTGCAATTGTCCCTCTATTAAATCGACGACTAAAATAACTTTTGTTAAGGCATTTTCCAACAAACCGAGTGAAATGTGCCGAAGCTCCGTTATGCTTTTGCTTCTACATCAAGCGCTCGAACAAAGCTGGCTCGAACTGTATCGCTGGTAACAGGTGAAAATGATCTATTGTCTGCAAGATTCCTCTGAATTGCTACAAATGTGACTTTGACTGGTCAATGCCGCGTAAAAGTTTGCCGATAGAGACACTCGGATTCTCTACTATTCCCACTTGTATCTGTGTGAAACGTATATCTGCCATTTTATGCTCTACGATATCAAGATTTATCGCAAATTACAGAAAATTGTAGCTGAAGAAAATGTTGTTAAGTTTCTTCTTTTAAATAATGGAACAGCCTTCGTGAACGAGCATGCAGACATTTTCAGAAGTTACTTTCGTACATAGTTACAAGCTACACAAATTTTTATAAAAAATTTTCCAAACCATGTTTCTCAGGTTTACACACAGTTTATTATCGAGCACTTTCAAATCTAGGCTACCAGAGGGTTACTCTCCAACCGAAATGAACTCTGAAACGTTGTTCCTTAACCACTCTTGTACTGAAATGAATTCTAAAACATTGTTCCTTAACAACTCTACCCTCGTGTAGGGAAAATTATAGTTTTCGTTTCACAACTTTCTTGCAGCTTTTTGGTACTCGTTTATCTTAACACATTTATCAATCACTGCAGCTCCGACACTAGTTTTCTGGCAGGTCAAATACGAATCACGGAACGTATGTTATAAATTGTGGTCAGAATTCGAGCAAATAGCAATTTGGATAACTCGAAACGCGCTCTGACAAAAATCAGTTTTTAAAATAATTTTGGGAACTCTGCGTTTGTTTATTTAAGCAATCCTTC